TGCTAAGACGCCATTTTAGGCGTAAAAGGCATAGTGTACCGCGCCCGAGGTAAACAATTGACGTCACTTGGCGGAGACCGATGGGTGTGTTTACCTGCACTCCGGAGGAGAGAGGGGAACGGGTAGTTGTATTTCTTTGTAACACGGGGGAATTACCCGGATTGTGACCGAGGACATGGCCCTCAACTAGTAGACCGCTAAAAACAACATCAAGTGGCCTAGGGTCTCCCAATTAAATGTACATATTAGGTCTGGCTTAAAATTAGGTAACAGAATTAGTATACAAATTATATATTTTATTTATGCATTATTTTACAATTAGAAGACAAACTTTATTATGCTACTTTAAAATCCAATAAGGCACAGGAACCTGTGACTAAACAAGAAGCAATTGTCATTGTATGTATTTGCTTTGTTTTAAAATCAATAAAATGTGTTCTAAAAAAAAGTGAATTAAGGAATCCGCCATTTGATTTTATCTTTTTTAATAAAGCCACAACGCAAAATGCGATGGGATTTACTCTAACTCCTGCTGTAGGAGGCCCTGCTCCTTTAATCGCGCATGAATTAATGTTGATTGAATCGTTTTATTATCCACTCCTCTCCACACAAACTAATTTTTCCACACCGGGGACCCGATGAAAATGTGTAAATATGAGGAAAATGGTTCACAGACACCACTGAGAATGATTCCTGGAAATAAATTACTATCCTGGCCTCTTCTTTTTGGGTGGAAAGGCTTTGGAAAGGATCAGATATACGGAGGGAAAAGCCGTATAGATGAGTCACACTTAAACCACGCTGATTGTAAACATATGACCCCACGTGTCATTTTTGCTTTTTTTTGGCGGTTAACGCTCATAAAACGGCCGCCAAACCGATAGACCCTGTAAGACCCGAACCAAGTTGCATAATTGTAATTGTTCATTTTGTGCATCATATTTCCAAGCAGTCAGTTTAAAGCGTCATCATAAGAGCAGAGCATCACAAATGATTTTAGGACAGGTTTCAGGAGCTTTCTAGGGCCATGAAGCGGATTTGAAACTGTTTAAGAGCATAAGCGGGTGTCATAAGAAAAGGTGAATATGTTCTGGTCAGGCATCAGTAGGGGATTTACAAAGAGAAAGCAAACTGCGCAGAAACGTTGCTTTTCACTGATGACCTGATTCACTGAAAGGCA